GCGTACGTACGACGAGTGTCCCCTGTGGCGTCGCGCCAGTCGTGCCGGGTCGGGACCGATGAGATGAACGAGATCTTGGCAGCCGTTTTGTCGTTCGTCATCTCAAGGGCCGTGGAAGGGACGAAAAGGGCAGCGGAAGGCGTCTGGGAAACAGCCGGCGGTTGGCGCCGTTCTCCACCACGTGTATGCCGCCCAGTGCAAGGGGCAGGTTGTGGCTTAGCAGTTTGGATCGGTATGGCTAATGGTGGACGATGGTAGCGCAGACGGGGGGGATCGTGGAGGACGGACCGGAAAGCCATTGATGGACTCGCACCCAAAAGAACGAGAGCTGGGGTGGTGGGTGATTGAAGAGACAGGGGGTCTGGTGGTGGAGGGGCGTGAAGTATTCGTAAAGGGAAGGGGGGAGGTGTGGTTGTTGAGCGGAAGAAGTGGAAGAACGAAAAGAAGCAAAGACAGGGCAGAAGAACCCCGCCTTGATGCATGCAATGCAATACCACCCACCTCGACCGCTATTCGAGTACGGATACAGTGCAATGCAATTAACAGGCCTCGCCAGCGCACAGACTGAGACTTGCATTGAGCGGGGGAGGGGTCACCGGCCGACCGGGGCCTCGGTGTCCGCTCGTCGTGTTGCATATGCATGACATGTGCATATGCATCGTTTTTTTGGGCTGTGGCCGCGCGCGGAGGAAAGCAGAGCAGAGCAAACTAAGCAAAGCAAAGCAAAGCAACGCTGGCCAAGCATCGATGCGTCGAAAAGGCGTCCTTCCAGTCTTCCATCGTCTCGTTCCTCTCGCCAATCATCTCATTACAACCCCCTTTTCGGTGGACTTCTTTCCTTCTGCTGCGCTTCGACACAAAACGTCGCCCCATTCCGACTTCGTGAATTCCTCCGCCAAGACAATAGCTTCCGCGACCTCGAGAGATGCATACGCATACGCATTACCCAGAATCGTCCTGGATGCTCAGCCAGACAGGGCAGCAGGGCATGCCATGGCATGGGCAAAGTGCCAAAGACTCTCGCTCGTTCACTCCCAGTCTTCTCCTCGATGTATCTCGTACCTCGCAAGCCAGGCCATCCTGGCCCCCCACTGCCTCCCCCCTTCACCTCATGCACCCCTGCCGATACTTCGCAAGCTTTTCGTCGAAGAACCCTTTCCAACGCCTCCCAAGACTTCACGGTGATTGAGTGAGAATTTCGGGCTCATGGACGCGCAGTTTAGGCCGGTCAGAATGTTGTGATCGTCGGTTCCAAGGCCGGTGGCCAAGCAAGTACCCCCCTCGGCCTTGAGATGCGAAGGTAACCCTAGGGTAGCTTCACGTCTCTGTCGATTCATCTCGATCCAGCACCCTGGCCGCCGCTTACGACCTCGAATATGGCCTGCAGCGGATATCATGTTCGAGCTCCGCGCGAGCCTTTCAGAGTTCCGAGAAGAAACACGCCTCCAGTCAGCCAGGCAACGCAACCTTTTCCCAATGGACCAGGAAAAGGTCCTCAGCAAGAACGACAAGGGCGTTTCTGCATGACATCAAGCGTCGGAGGGGACCTCGGCGAAAGTACGATGAACAAACAGGGGAGATGAGTGTCTTTGCCTGCTTCCTGCATCCGGGCTTGCCAGCTTGGCGATCCCGCGCTGGGTGAAGGCTGCTGGTGCTGCTGCCGTTGCTGGTTGGGGAGCACCACCTTCTGATGTTGTTCTGGATTCCGGCCGGTGCGAGATATTTTGCCATTCTCGTTGTGCTGATGCCATACGGAGTTATTGCGCTACTTCTTCCTTCTCCGTGCAGCGTCGTCTTGCCGAAGCGCGCCTGTGGTGAGCTTGGTGGTTGTGGTTGCGCTTGGGAGGTGGGCCTCCTCGCCCTTCAGCCACCTTCAGGCCGCTTGCCATGGACTTTTTTGGACACACTATTGCTGATGGTCGTCTGTTCGATTCCAAGTCTGGTCTGTCCGGGAGCTAGCCTGGACCTGAAACTATGATCTCGTCTTTTCTTCCCGACTTTGATCTGCCCACGGCCCCGTCGCCATCCAGCCGCGTGCCGCCGGCTTGGAGCCTCAGCCGCAGAGTTACCACCACCACCACCACTATGGCGTCCATGCTTTTGATGCTGCTGCTGTTGCCGCCGTTTGGCCGTGCAAACGTGGATCCCGATTAGGCCCGGCGACGCCCAGGTTGATGCCATGTCCATGTCTCAATCATTGCTTTCCGCAGACGGGTGGCATGGAGAGGCTGCCGCCAGTCCAAAGTCTGGGCAACCTCGAGCCGCTGACGCTAGGGACAGCCCGAAGGTGAGTGGGCTGTCTCCTCCTGCTGCTTCCCCATCATGTGTGTCGGTGCCTTAGTTGGCAAACTCTTTTTAACTCCCGTCTTCGTTCCTTCGACTGAACTCTCTTCCTTCCCGTCGCCGCGCTCTCTTCCTCTTTAAACCCTCAAGCCAACTTGGCAGTGGAGTCGACTTTTAAGATATCATAGATATCTTCCTCGTGTAGCTCTTCGTCGTCACTCGTTCTTCTCCGCAACTACTCATCGTTCGTTTGATACCCCCCTCGCCGTCGCAATGGACTCTCAACTTCTTACACCCGATACTCCGGAGCGGTCTCCGACTTGCCGCGATGCTTTCCCCTTCAACTCTCCAGAATCCTCCAAGGACCGAGCCGCGCCTTGGGAGTTCTCTCACGATGGCTACTACCCCATCACTCCTCCCACGGAGGAGTGCGAATCAGACGAGGAACTCGCAACTATTGCCAGCTCCGTTGACCTCGAGGCGGAACCACTGGTTGCCGTCATTGGGGTAGGATACGTTGGAGAGCACCTCGTGGGCAATTTTGCCCGCAAGTTCAACGTCCTCGGTTTCGATGTCTCTGAGGCGCGAGTCCAGAGCCTCGAGAGAGAATTCGGCCCAGACAGTAAGGCCAAGTTCACCAGCAAACCCAGCGATATGGGAGCGGCTACACACTTCCTCATCTCAGTGCCCACGCTTCTGCGCCCAGACCAGACCGTTGACACTTCCTTCCTGCGGTCCGCGCTCAAGAATGTTGCAACATACGCCCGCGCTGGCTCCGTAGTGGTCGTCGAGTCATCCGTCGCCGTTGGCATGACCAGAGAGCTGCTCGGCCCTCTTGCCCAGGAACGCCACTTCTTCGCTGGCATGTCTCCTGAGCGTGTCGACCCCGGCCGTGTTGAGCCTCCTGCTCACGCTATCCCCAAGATAGTGTCCGGTTTGGATGATATGGTCCCCGGTTCGCTGAACGCCATCGTCCGCCTCTACTCGCAGGTTTTCGACAACGTCGTTCCTGTGTCGAGACCTGAGGTCGCCGAGATGACCAAGTTGTACGAGAACTGCCAGCGCATGATGTGCATTGCTTTCGCCAACGAAATGGCCGATGCCTGTGTTGGACATGGAGTCGACCCATATGAAGTCTCTGGTGCTGCTGCGACCAAGCCATTTGGATACATGCCCTTCACACCTAGTCTGGGTGTTGGCGGCCACTGCATCCCCGTCAACCCGTACTACCTTCTCTCCAACAATCAGTTCCCTCTCCTTCAGCACGCAACGGAAAGAATGCGCGCGCGTCCGTCGGCCATCGCTCAGCGCGCTGTTGATGCGCTGTGCGCAGAAAAGCCGCGGCCGAGCGTCCTCGTCGTTGGCATGGGCTTCAAGAAGGGCCAGTCCCACCTGGCAAACTCTCCTGGGCTCGAGCTTGCAAAGAGCCTCGTATTGTCTGAGAAGGTCGATGTTTGCTGGGCCGATCCCCTCGTCAAGCAGGAGGCGGTACCACAGATCCCCCGCCTGAATGATGTCGAGGGCTGGAACGTTAAGTCGTTGGAAGAGCGATTCGACATGATCATCGTTGCGTTCAGACAGAGTGGGCTTGATTTCGATGTCCTGAGCCAACTGCAGAGCACACATGTTGAGATGTGGTGCAACTAAGGTCCGGAAGGCCAAGGGTTGCGGCTGCGCTGGGCTGAAGGTGGCGTTCTCCTCAGTTCGTCATCGTCGCCCAATCCCACCATTCCCTCTGTAATGCTTTCACGAATATTTCTTCTTCTTTTTTTTCCCTCCTTTTCCTCCTTTTCCTCCAATCGCCGGGGTTTCCCATGGAGTCTGGCGCTGTTGTTTGCTAGGAGATGTATATTGGAGCAAACGGCGGGTCGGACGCAACACACGGATAACGATGGATGTAATACCTCGGAGCTTTCCTTGCTCGTCGTTTCCTTTCTTCTCTCATCGGCCGGTGTCAAAGGTATGTTTGGTAGAAAAAAGGTCGATTAATGCGCCGAGACGCGATCGAACTGGATGAGCATTGACGGCCGAAGATAGATGTGCGATACATATTTGCGGGAAACTGTTCCTAATTTCAATTCATAAGTCAACTTCCCCAGTTCCACCTCGTCATGATTGTCGCCATCTCTCGATTTCAAATTGCGGACAAGCATCGTCCGTCAGCATCGAACCCACTATCGTTGGAAATTGTCGAGTCTGTGACCGTCGGGCCCCTTCATGTCTTGTGCGTGGCGCCAACCGCTCCTCTCGGTGCTGTCATTTCTGGATACCCCATGTCAATCGTGAATGTCGCTTTGTCGCAAGCAAGCACATCGCATCGCATCGCGTTCGTCTGGGCAGGCCTCCATTTAAACCTCCAATCAACAGTAATCCCAATGGGTCGTCGGGAAACACGGCACATCCCCCATGTCCTCCGCCTCTCAAATCAACTAGTTCTCACGACCATTTGGCGGATACGATGTCTGACCGTCGCAATTCGGTGCCGAGCTGCCGGATGCCCCGTTCTGGCGAGGCGTTCGAGAAGGTGGTCAGAAGGAAATCGTGTGCGGCGGCCGAGAAGCGCGGGCGCTACTAGACTGTTATAAACTCAAGCTGTCATTCCCTATCAATCCCTCCATCTCATCGACTAAGATAATGCAAGTCGCCTGGGAGGGTTATTTGTTTATCAAGATCCTCCGTTGAGCGCGCAGTATCTTCCCGGCCCATATCGTGTTGCATTATCTATTGATCTGCGCGGCATCGGCACCGGGCCGGGGTGTTGTTGGCCCAGCCTTGCCGTTTCGAGTCGACCAGATAAGAAGGTTACTTTTTGGTTCCCTTTTCGGCGCGACGGCAAACCAAACTCGATGGTTCTTCTGTGATAGATGCAAGTGATGATGCCGATGCAAGAGGAAGAACGGGACAATACGAGGAAATGATACCGAATGTTCGAATGGAGAAGCTGAGCAGGGCGAAGATGGTGTGAAGAGCGGTGAGGGAAATTCTCGGTTGAGAAGCATACTTAGCACGTTAGCTCGATGGTTCAGACGATGGGCAATGATTGACGAGGTTAAGCGAAGAAGGTTGGCGGATGGTGTCGTCGGGATCGGTCCCGTGGTTTCCCCCCTCATTCCTGTTTGGGATCTGGGTTGCTTTGGTTGTTCTTTTGGGAGTGTGTTTGTGACCAGATTGAGCAGCGATCTCGACGTCCTCGGTGATCTGTACTTGGCATGTGCTGTGGGCAACGTACCCGAAGTCGCGGTGCCGCGGACCGCGGGCTTCAAATAGTCTTCTCATGGTGATGGAGGGGGCGACGATCCAGCTGATCAAAAACATACGCATATCTCACTGCATACCAGCCTCTAAAATCATCGCGCTAGAGCTGTTGTCAACGAGAAAAAGTCCACATGTCGTGGACTCTCCATCAGTAAGGTGGTTGGACCGCAGCGGACCAGACACGGCCGTAGTAGGAATTAGGCATAAACTTACTTATGTACCGGCAAGACGGCTCGCACGGAGCCCGGGGATGTCGTCTTCGGCGTGTTCAAGTCCATGACAGCTAGATGCTTGCCGATCATGCTGCGCCATCGCTGCGAGTGTCGGACCGGTGGTTTGCGGAGGGCGCGCACTCCGTCCGGGGATGTTTGTGTAATTCTGGGTCAGTGCCCATCATTAGAGACACATTTTCCGGTACTTGCTTCCAGCCTTGCTTTTGTAATTCTTCAATTTAGTCTTTCAGCAAAAGGTTTTGATAAGGAACCAAAAAGATGATGTAAAACTCGCGATTTGAAGCTCGGGAGCTGATGCTTTCAGCGTATCATCCGTGAAGGAAGCAAACAGGATGTCGTTGGTTTATTGAGATGAATATCCTTTACCCAGGAATCCGAAGAGTCATCTATACTCTTCGGGGCTTGACATAGCCTCCGTCTGACCACATCACCACCAACTTAGTCTAGATGCCAAGTAGTTGATAGCCAGTCGGTGAAAGAGCGCAGGCCCAGATCTCAGTGTCGGCCATGCCTTTACTTCATGTTGCGTCATTTCTCTTGCTAATAGAGTGTGGGCATTTCGGTCTCAGCTTCTTGGTTCCAGGCTCTGATGCTCCTACGTGTCTTGGACAGTAAGCCACAAATTGAGGGTCTTTTTGGCCGTGGCTGTGGGAGTATCTTACAAGCAGGACGTCTAGACCCCTCGTCGTCATTTCGCACGATTCTTGGGATCGTCAGCATAGCCATGATCTCACAAGTATGCTTGGCCCCTTCAACGTTGCCCAATAAGACGACAACCATGGCCACGAGTCGCGAGCCAAGGCTCAGCTTGGCATATGGAGGCGCACTTGACGAAGTTCTTTGATTCCCCATTCGTAGCCTGCTATCGGGGGCTTGCTCGAAGAGGGTTTATTGCAGAGGAGTCTAAGCCAGATTAGAACCTGCTGGCCTCTCCTCAAGTGCGTACCATTTCTTTCGAAGTCTGAACAACATATAGCATGAATGGACATGAGTTAGATGGGAAGATGTTGTTATTAGTCAAGGAGCAATCCGCTCGAGGAGCGTTCTTTTGGGTATCTATAGTATAGAAATACCTCCAACTCTCCAAGTGCCTTCCTGTATTTGGAATCACTGCCAAAAGCCCTCTCAATCAAGTACCGCACCTTAGCTGAGCCCGGCAGAGACAGTCGGCTAAGGCTCAAGCAACGATGATGGTTCCCGGAAGACCTCCACCCATAGAGCCATCTTGGCCAGGGGCATCATCCTCATCATCGGGCGTCTGGCGGTAGCCAGTGCCCTCCGGGTGGTCGTCGGCCATATCCTCCTCTTCAGACTCGGACTCGGACTCGGACGAGACAAAGAGCTCACTCTTCTCGATGCTCTTCTTGCCGGAGCGCTTGCCAGAGCGGTTCTTCTTGGTAGGCGTCTTCATAACTCTGCCGGTGATGGTTCCCTTGGTGCTCTTCTTGTTCGACATTTCCGTAACCTTGCGGGTCTTGGCGAGTGCCTTGGCCTTGGCCCGCTCCTCGGGGGTCTTCTTCGCCCTGTTCGCGCTTCGAAACCTGCACTTGATGCAGGTCTTTCGGGAGATAGCGCCCTCAGTGTCTGTGAACTGGGTCTTTGGCATACAGCCCCGGTGGCTCGAACAGAAACACTGCTCCTTAGGGTTGTGCAGGCAGGGTCGGGCGAGATCTTTCATCTCATGATTGCCTCTTTTTTTGTAGCTTGGGATGTTGCAGGAAGAGTGGTCTCCCTTGGCGTCATTGGGGAGAAGATCCTCCTCCTAGGTTGATGTTAGCCTCTTGTATGCATAAATCGAACTGGGGCAGGAGGAGATAGAATTGTTTTGTTCGTAGGTATGTATACATGGTTGTGTGTGTGTGTGTGTGTGTGTGTGTGTGTGTAAGGTAGGGAGGGGGCAGAGGGGGGAGAGGGAACGAGAGGGGGCTTCAGGGTGGTAGGGGGGGTGGGGACTCGACTTACAGAAGACGACTCGCCAGAGTCGGCATGGGGGTCGGAGCCCATTGTAGATGTAGGTGGTTGTTTGGGGTTTTGGAGGTTGGTGGTCGAGAGTCGGAGGTCACAGAGGTCGGTGGTCGAGGGTCGGAAGTTCGATGTCTGTTGTGAATCGAGTCTGAAAGAACGTGAAAAGACTTGGTTGGACAATCTGCCAAGAAGACGTCTTCTTATAACTGGTGAAAGGAGTGAGTTCGCGAGAGACCTACCGACATGACTTGGTAAAGCTTGAGATTGCAATGTCATCAAAGCCCTAAAAGGGTTCAAACAGCACGCTGTTCACCCGAGAAGTGAAGATCTAAACCTGGCTCGCAGGATTACTTGCGTATGTAGAGTTTGTCTGGAATATTCTGCTGTGACAAGGCTAGCATAATGCTATCACCCAAAATACTGATTATTCCAGCAGATGGGCGTATACATGGTTATGAATAATTGAATACATCCAAAATTACACCAATTTTCCATCTCAGACATCTTAAGAACGCATACCACCGCAAATCTCGAATTCATGCTATTTGTCAAGCCCTTCCGAGACTTGCTTCATGGGAGCGAAGGACAGCCTTGAGGCTATGGATTGATCTCAATGCTTTCACTTACACGAAGAAGTAAATGCCAATCGTGGGAAACGCTCACAAGTCACGATATTCAGTCGACATATTTTCTCGTACACAACTTCACGGAGCAGGATATTCGGCATACACGCGGGCAACTGGGAACTATCGACAACTGACTCCAGAGATGTCTCCTTGTATTATGTATTGCCATACGCCAGGTCTGACCACAAATATCCATCTAAGCCTTAACCGCCTCCCAAAAGACTCGATCGCACTCTGTATGGCATTTCGTTCCCTTAAACTGCAATAAGTTGGCCACCCATGCCACCACCCATGCCACCACCGGGACCATCGTCGTCAGGGCCGGGGTGACGACGGGGAATGTAAACGATAGGCATGTCGACATCCGTCTCGTACTCGCCATCCTCGTCGTCGCTCTCCTCCGAAGAGGAGACGAACAGCTCGCTCTTCTCCTTCTTGTCCTTCTTGCCCTTCTTGGGGGTGGGGGTAGCGGCGATCTTAGTCTTCTTGGGCGTGACGCTCTTCTCGATTCTGCCGGTCTTGGTGGCCTTGGCCTTCTTGGGTGTTCTGGGGCCGCGGGGCGTGGCCTGGGTAGTGCGCACCAGGTGCGGCTTCTTTTTGGCCTTCTGCTTGGACTTCCAGGACTGCTGGTTATGCTTCTTGCAGACGAGAAAGTCATCCCGGTCGCCGTCCCGAAAATCCGCAGGAGGTGCACAATGCTTTGCTCTGGAGCAATATCTCCAATCTCTGAACTCGGGATGACCGTACTGTCCTCCCTCCTTGCAGAGGCGGATAGCGTCGTCGGCGTCGTAATTGGCATACGTACAGTCGCCATGCTCGTTCCGAACCTCATTCCCATGCTGGTCATAGACCTTGGCGCGGCGGCGCTATTTGGATCGTCAGTGGAATAGAACCAGGTGGAAATGGCCTGATGATATCAGGGGATGGGGGGGTAAAGGAGGACTTGAAAGAAAAGTAAACAGTATCTCCTTGGTGTCAATCAACGAAAAGAACCCCCCAGAATGAATCTTCAGAAAAGAAAAGGCTCGACAAAAGCAGGCTTCGAGGGAAACAATGGACACTTACAGCCATGATGAGAAGGCAGCGTCGAAGTGCTTTGATATGTGTGTTTTTGTAGAAAATGCTTCTTTTTGTGAAAGAAGCCTTTTTCGAAAATGTGGTGATCTGGATTAAAAAATGACAAGCTGACGAAAATTCTGGAAGGAAATGGATTTTAATCCTTGGAGGGAGAAGAGTACTCGGGGACCTGGTCAGCTTCCCTAGTCGACAACTCACGATACCCTCAAAGCCCTAGCGGAGACTGCTTAAGAGACCATTCACCCAAAGAGTGAAGGTCCAAATTCAGCTTTGACCTGCTACCCATGTGCCCTCAATGCTCTGGGACGTTGTCTTCTGGTGAAACTGGCGCAGGACCAGCTCCATGGCGGAAGAGGTCACTCCACGAAGACTCCCCAAGCCCTGCGGGAGGCTTGGAAGATCAAATGTGGCAAAGGTCTGAAGTTTGGAGATCATTTCATTCCAGTCCCTCGCAAAATTATGAACTAGCTGGTGCCTTGGTTGGATACGACGTGTTGGTCATGATCAGCGAGAGGAAGCTTTTGTTTTAAAAAGCATCACTTGTACAACTTATATATGATCTTTTTCTGAAGTATCAGAAGTATGCCTCTACGATAGAAAGTGCAAAGCTCATCTACTGGTATGATACCATGAGTACTATTGGAAGCCACATGTTCTACGTTCGGCACCGGCGTCGTAGGCTCAAAACAAACAATACGAGGACCACCTCAAGCAAGGGTAGAGAAATGACTTTAGGAAAACAAACAAGACCTCGAGAAAGACAATGATACTCAAGAACTTTTATTACTATTCAGCATAGTTGACTAAGAGCATAAATTACAGCGTCATCGGCTGCCAAGCGTATGAGCTACAGCCAGTAGAGACATGAGAAAGTCTGGTGAGGATGAGACAACAGAGAAGAAAGATCGCAGGCGTGGAGAGCCCAAAAGAATTTCAAGCTGCAAACTTTGCTCAAACCACACCTATACCGCCAGGAGCCCATCTCGCAACGGCTCGGTTTCCACAATGGTCTGCCTCGGGGGGATGGAAGCTATCAAGCTCGCCGCGCATTTTCCACAGAGCCGGTAGCCCACCCGTGCCATACACATCATAGCATGACTATGCTCATTAAGACATCAGA